ACAAGCGTTTATAAGTTATTGGTACTCTATTATTTCAGCCTAATATTTTCTCGCCATCAAAGACCTCGGGCCTGTGCTTGGAATTTTTTTATTTTCATAGCATGTGTTTTTAAGCGAATGGTACAGTACGAGTATCGGAGTAACCATCCCAAAAATAAATCGTATTTGAATATTTTCCATTTAAATAAACACATGTAAGTCGTGATCTTCAACACGATTCCACGAAATACAGGAAGAACATCTTACAATTTAGGATTCTGTACTTAACCAGATTGATTGAGTACGTCTAATACTATCTCTAAGTTTTCAGACGAAATAGTCATGAAATTCAGTCAAGATCATTGAGCCCAGTGACATCATAACATTCTAAACACATTGTTGAGGTAAACCATTCAAAAAGTAACAACGACGTAACCATATCTGGAGCAAAGGAAACGCAACCTCAAAGACCAAGATAACCCGGGAGAGTGATTTAACCGCCATTGTTGCGAGAAAATACGGAAGTCTTATGGGAAATAAACAACAACGGATAAGGAATCTCACGTTCCACATACAAGCGCAGACTTTTGGCGGGTAGCGGTGTTTTTGGCGGGAGCGGTGTTGTGTTATCAAGATGTGACAAAGTACACGTTCTTTCCCACAGTGTAAAAGTAGTCAAGTCGGTTATTTTCTTCGGCCTGAACAGTCTGAGATGGAACACAGAGATAGTACTAATCGGTAAGGCTTCTACTATTCAGACAGAAAACATGGAATGGTTAGTTTGTAATATGTATATTACCTGCCTTTATGGGGAAGTACGACTTCTTAAAGGTCACGATGTTTGGAAGTTAGGTTTGCCTGGTTGGGATTATTTAGGAAGATGTATATTTAGGCAAATATATTTTAGCGGAGCTAAGTATGCAAAAGATCCCAATATTTTGAACTATTGGGTTATGAAGTGACAGCGGTGAGAACATTTCCTACAAATTTTTTGATGCATGCATGATATTTTAGCGCATGCAGAATAGCACTAGAGAAATTTTTTGGCGGTGTTGGAAGAATACTTACCACATACATAACAACTATAGAACAAATCCGTTCACCCGACATAAAATTAAACAGAGGAAACTTCTTTCTCTTTTGGTTGATCAAGTTTAAATTACAAAGTGTCCATACCGTTTGGAAATCAATTATCAATTCAACATCGCACTCTCCTCATATAATAATGTTAACTATCTGCACTAGAACTAATATACTATTCCGCAAAACTACTATACAAAGCTCCACTGAATTTAAACTAAATTATTTGTATATTTAGTTTAATTTTGATCGTCCAAAATATTGTTTGGTACTCTTTCTTTGACTACATTATTTTGAATAGCCTGTCTCTTGAAAGGTTTTAAATTATTCAATAAAACCTTACAGACTATAGACCAATGACCTTTTGCCTGTGCTATTACCAAAACCATAAAAAATCTGCCCTATTTCAACCAACTTCAACTTTTATTTCTGAATGTCTGACTTGGGCTCTCCTCCTCGGTCGGTCTCAGTACTTCGTGGGCAAATGTGATTGTTAGCGGACCGCGGGCGGAGCGGCCTTGCAACACCAAAACTCTCAACCGGTTTCGCTCGGACATCTATTAATCGGTGACGTGCAATTTGGCCTTTCTGCCCACTCTGCTGCCCACCCCGAGGAGCGAGAGAGAGGGAGAGAGTCCGTTACTTGGGCGAACCTCTAGAACACGAGGTTGAGGATACCCCGGACTCCAGACCGGCTTTCATTCATGTAAAACCACTAGACTGCGAAGTGTTTCCCTTTCGTTGGGAATTTTCTTGGAGCCTCAAAAGATGACACATTTAGATACATTCAATTCTCATACTACATTGAAGTTTTTGTCAGAGAATAAAAATTAAGGTAGCCACAGACAGAGTGTGATGGTATATTACTGTTAAGAGAATGATTAGATCAAACTTAAAGGACAACTGTTGTAAGCTATAGCTAAACATAAAACTTATTCACTAAATGAGAAATTCACTAACAACAGAACTTTGACATCAGCGGACTCTTTGATTAGAGACAAAACTTTACATTCCATGTCCACGTTAGTTGTACATTTTGAAAATAAAACATACTGTAATTGAATAGAACTACGAGAGTGCGCAGGGCGCACAACCGTTTTACCAAACTGGTGGGGATAGTATGGTACTGCATAATCCATCTTAACCTGTGTTTTATTACTACAATTTCACTATGTTGTTCGACTTGTCATGTTATGATTCAGACGATGATATTGAGCACAGCCTCAACATAGAACAACTACAAATTTATCATAAAACTTAACATTCCATTAACATGTTTGTTCAAGTTGTTGCCAGAGAAGGAAAATGAGCGTAACATATTGACAAATAAAACTAAAACATCGTTGGGTGCGTTTCACCATTAAAATCTTACCGAGTTTGTCTGGCTTATTATTTAATGATAAGCAGTATAACATTTACCTATGAATGGAACTAAACCTTATATTCTCATGTTAGTTGCAGCTATATAGAACCAGAAAATGAAAATGGACCTAGTTGAATTTAACCACCGACAGAGATAGTGTAAATAACTGTCTTCTGTCAAATATGTCTATTGTTTAACCAAGCCAAAACTCATAACTATAACATCGTGTAATTATTACGGTAAGCCTATCAAAATCTAAAAGGAGAAAATTGAATTTTAGACAGTGACACATTTTCACAAAGGAAATTGATACAACTGGTTCACAGATGAAAAGTCTACTTTAGTAACCCAAAGTCAACGACAGAAAGCTACATATCTACAAAGCGTCAATCTAGTTAGTGCCCAGTACATTCCCATGTTCGCCCAGTCAGTTGCCCAACACGAGTTACGACTGTCTGTTCAGTTGAGTGCCCCTTGCCCCTCGCGAGGCCTTGCCCTGTTTCTCTCTTTGTTTTTGTCACGATTTGATTCTTGTTACGCTAACGAAATGGGGATTTTCTGGTAGAGTATGCTTTGTGAAAAGGGTGGGAGGAAAAGTGGAAGACAAATTTTTTCTATAGTTAATTTCAGGTTTTTTTTAATAGGTGTTTTTCCCAATATTGTGATTTTTTTCCGTACTAATATAAAATAGATGGTAATTGATAGTGATTAATGTTTGAAATGCAGTATAAATAATATTTCACAAATAAAAGCTTACTTCAGGATATTCTCTATAATTTCGTTGTTAAGACAAACTGAAATTCGGTCAAAAATTACAATATTGTATAGGGAAACGAAAACAAATTATAGACTACATCTTTTAAACATGTGGACGTAGTTTAATTTCCGAGAATTCATTGTATTAATTTTTGGACTTGGATATTACGGCAAAAAATCTTACCCACCACAGAATGTGTACAAAACGATTTTTATAAAAAAAATTATTAAAATGATTTTTTAAACTAAATTTCAATAAATTGTTTGTAGTGTTTTAACTTATTTCAATATATTATAATTCAAGTATCTAATGTAGTTTATAACCCAGAAAAGACTATTATATCTAGATACTTTTTCACAAATCGTGTTCTAATTCACTGCAATTAAAAGGTGTTGCTATTTGTCCAATTAAATCATAAAAAAATGTGGTAGTAAACAAAACACTTTAAAATTTGATAAAAAGACCATTTTAAAGTGAACCCGTCGACGATGAGTGGATTTAATCAATTAGTGGCTACTAAATAATTTAATAATATTTTTTGTCTCTATATCTCATTATGTCATTTTAATCAGCAAATTATTAAATTACTGTTATTCAGCCTAATAAGTCGTATTAATGGTAAACAAGTATTGTTTAATTGTTTTGTTTGTCCCAAAAGGTCTATTAAAAACCCCTGTATGTATGAACAAACATTTTAATTCCTAAAATTGTAACATTGTGTGTTGGGTTGAGAGCGCCTGCAATTTACTAGACGCAACTTCCAAGCTAGAATGTCTGCAGCATTGCATTATGTTTAACTGAAGGCGCTATAATATGGCTCTCCTGGCAATAATTAATTATAATCTACAACCAAAGAGGTGGCTAGGGTATTCACTATTTTTGTACATTTTGTGATTTGTTTTACAATAAGCTGTTCCAACTGCGATGTAATCCCATGGTCACTTGTAAGCGAGGCCCTCTGTTAAAAAGAGAGTATTCCATTCCCTATAATTAATTGTCTGTGCAATTCTTACATTTTGGGAAATTTATTGGTTTTGAATAAGGCATGGGTTTAGGTGCTATTGTGGTGAGAGCTAACTATTTCATGTTGATATTTCATCACAGACAATCAATCAGTTTTCAATTAATTACCGTAGTGTTTTTAATGGAAACCTTTTTCTAAGCAACACATTGTACTGTATTTCGCTAACTAATATGGTTAAGGGCACTGTGTTCCGTAAATATAGATTTTAGAATATTAAACACCTTCAAATACCAATAATTTTTATACGATACAATTTGCAAATAAAAAAAAAACAAGCTCTTGTGTGTATTATTTACGTATATGGCTAACCCACTACACAAACTAAATGAGAGAAGAAAACAATTAATTATCATTACTTACCGGTAATACATTTGAGGACTGGTTTACTTCAGAATAAATGTTATGCAACAAAGGAACGCATTGAAAAAACTGTTGACAAATGTGTGCTTTGTATGTTGTCCTCTTCATTATGTAAATTAGGCCTAAAACTTACTCGACGATGGTTTATGAACGGTTGTAATGGTTATAAATGGCATAACACAAAGCAAAGATGAATAAATTTGTAAATAAGGGGTCATTAACAGAACCTAAATATTTTCATTTGATGGTCATTGCTTCCTAGGACCGGTTTCTTCGATGACTAACCGCAACTTATTATTATGATTAGCCTGAGGGGATGTTTACTTCATCTAACAAACAGCTGGCAAAGCAAGACAACTTGAATTACGTCACCAAAACACGATTGTTCTGCTCGATTCACAAAGGAGCGACACTAGCGCTCGCCTCCTGTGGTGGCCGCGGCGGAAAACTCCCAGTCTATCGTCGTCTGCCCAAGTGTCAGTTTACTAATTGTCGTTTGTTTATTTTTAGAGTGATTCCCTCAAACTTGACCGCTTCTGTGATTTAGTGCCAGTTTTTTAGTGCAAGCTCAAGCATCGTAGTGTTCTTTCGGTGTTGTATTTCGCGATATATAGTAGGTGTCAGTCTTCTGTGCGGGAGGTCGTTGATCCATAGGTGAGGCCGATCCCATCATTATACTTCCTTTCTTTCTGAATTTTCATTGATCATAACTAAAAAAATCATGCCTAATTTACATTTATTATTGACTTAGATGCATTTTATGTTTATTCCACATGTTATGATTAAGTTTAACCAATTCTAAACTTGAATTTTAATACAAGTCACATGGATTGCCATTGCCAGGGTTTAGTGGTACCGGTAGCTTAAAAGATTCATTGTCAAGTTCATCTATGATCATTGATTGAAGTGGGATTTTACAAATTGATTGTATACCTAATGTCAATCAATCCTTGGGTTTTATGGATGAGTCTAATGCGATTTGTTTGAATACAAATCAATTGACAGGATTTTTACTTTGATTCACACACATTAGTTGAACTTTTCTGATATAAATATTTGTTGTGCTAGTGCAACAACAATCTAAGTGTAACAATCTAGTGAAACAAATCCTTATCATATCTTACTTATCGTAATTGAACATTTTCAATGGTTTTTTTCTTTTTCCAGGCAGGACAGTACAGAATGGAGTGTGGTGTGCTACGCGGTGGTGAAGTGGAGGAGAGGCGAAGTCCTGCAAAGACTGGTCTTCATGTCAACTTCATCGAGAAAGGCGAAGTTAAGGAGAGGAGAGAGAAGTTCTTGACAGCGAAGTACGGGAGTCATCAGATGTCACTGATTAGGAAGAGATTAGCTGTGGAGATGTGGCTTTACGATGAACTTCAGAAGCTTTACGAGTCCTCAACCACAGTAAGTTATGCATGAGCGTTGACATTTAGAATAATATTTGTTTAAGTACCAGTACCTACTATTTATTTAGGATGTAATAATTAGGTTGATTTTAATTTTATTTCCTAGAGTGGAATCATTGAATAGGTAGCAACAAATAGGTAGCAACCACCTTCTGTTTAATCTAACGTCTTAAAGAACTCTGTTAGGTCGAGCATCTATAGGTCCAGAGAGCCACCAAATTCCATTTACAATTTAGTTCTGCTTTCCGATAACTCTGTTTAGGCCTAATTCATGTTTTATGCGATGACATTGATTTAGATTCACAATTTGCTGCATTATTTACACTGATTTTGTAATCGTATACTCTTATATGAGCAATGTCTTTTGCTTGTATGTTTGCTTGCTTGCTTGCACAGAGCTCAAAAACGGCTTCGACGATTGCATTCAAAAGTTGTAAATAATTTATTTGTGGCCTAAAATCATGTTTCATGCAGTAAAAACTGCCAACAAAAATTTAATTACGGTACGTAATAAATTAAGATTAGCATAATGCAATCAGTGTTGCAGTAGTTTCAACTATCAAATGCAATTTAAAAATAGCTTCGTAGCTAAAAATAATTGTAGATAACCCTACAAACAGTACTAATCCAAGGGTTATCAGTGAAGCTGAAACAAGTAGCGTTAGGACCGTAGCTATACCGTAATAGGAAATGAACTGCTCACTTAACAGCTGTTAGGAAACCTCTTCTCTCTTTAATTGGTACTTTGGTGATAACAGCTGTGATTACAAACAAACAAGCTGACTGAAGTTTAAATACAACTGTGACAATAGGCTTTGTGCTCACTGTATTGCCTGCGCTCCTTTGTCACTGACAAAAAACAATGGTAGCAAGGTGAATAAATTTTGGTATTAAAATATTACTGCTGATAAAAGACATAATTTTATAAACTGCAACACGTTAGTCAACAAATGAGCTTATTTTAATATATGTTTGATAATATTTTGTAGTGCTTTTAGTGTTTCAAGTTCGAGTATCTTCTAAAGAAATGATTTCTGGATTACGAAATGTACCTAAAGAGCAATTGCATTAAAAATGACATGAATGTAAAACTTGATTGAGTAGGTACCCAAAGGTGTAGGCCTATATACGATTAAAGTTTAAAAGGGGTTTTTTTTGTAGATAGCTAAAAATATCTTCTTCTATAGTTGATACCTGTTACTGTAAATTTACATACAGTTTCTGATCTTTTAAAAATCTAGACGGGTTGTTGAGGTGATTGGTGATTTTTAATTTATGTTGTTCAATTTCTAAATTAACACATTCGCTACCGATCGCCACATATTTGCGACGCTGCCGTTATTGCCACAACCCGAGGTATACATTTTAACTGTGATTTCATCAAAAAACTAAATAATTATGTAGAAATAGACACTGTTTGAAAAGGAATATATATTGTGAATGTACCTACTTAGAAATTTTAAATATCCGAGCAGTTTTAAATAAAATACCATATCGGTATTCAGACTGCTGAAACTCGTCAATGTAACGTGACCATGAGAACTCTCCTCGTTCTCACAGGAATGTTTATTAAAACAAAAGCCAAATTAGCTTATTATAAAGCGCACATTCTGTGTAAAAGTTTATGGGAAAGTTGAGGCATATCTTTCATCTGGAAAGCTGCATGAACAATTTCTGCAAATTAATTAATTGGCGTCAATTATACACGGCCTAGAATGGGCTTCATGCAAATATTCAGCCTAGATCTGCTGTAGAGCATGAAATATCACACTCAAGCCGTCTCTTGTTGCCCTATTTGGGTTCCTTTTGTACTTTTAATGAAACTACCAATGCGCAAATATTTTATGAGTTAAAGATTCATAGTTTTAGTAACTGTAAAAGGCTGCTCTGTTTACGAGAACCATCTTAAAAAAACTTCATACAGTATATTCTTAGTTGCCAAAATTACAATACCAATGACTATCATACTTTTGTCAGATTTTGGTCAAATTAATACAGTATTTACTTATTTTAGAAGCTGTGTTGAAAATTGAGCAACACCATGTAACTCAGTGTATTAAAAGTACTTGACAAAAATTAACACAAAAAAGTACTTAAAAGTACTTGAGTATTATTTTAATGAGTCTAATTTTGAGAGTGTCAGTGCGATATGATGAAAAACACATATTTTTAGGTGCAATACAGAAAACGTTTCAAGCACAATAAATTTATCGTCCGAGTAAAACAAATTCTTTCAAATACAACACCTTTTGTATTCAAAAAATGTGGATATATTAAGTACATCATGATTCACAAACTATTTTCCCACTTTTACAATAAGAAATATTAAGGTTACTTGACATAGCCTACTGAATAATAATACTGAAATAATGTTACTTTCAACACAGTATAAACACTCCAGAGCCATATCAACTGGTATGTGGAAGTTTGTTTGGTCTGTAGTGGAGGTGTGTAAGTTTTAGTGTTGGGCAAAGCTATCTTATCATACAAAGGAGGCTAGTTGTATTGTTAGGTTTCCAAATTCTTGCCTCTTCCTGCTGTGATAATGCTAGTGATAGTTGAGAGGAAGTTGGTGCTAACTGGTTCTGTACTTAAAAACTTGCTTTGAAATACTGATGATTAGTTTTCTGCTAAATACACTATGATAAAATACATGCTTGGTAAACATGCTTAAGACCTGTATTTAAGGATGTTTAACACATTATTTGTCATGGACCTATCCTATTGTGTTTTTAATGTCTTAACAAATTAAGTTATTTGATTTATTAATAAAATAGTTCACAAGGCTAATTCAATTAAATGTAAGTGAATTTATCAACGGCAAGACTCAAAATTCCTTGTTTTAATTGTATCTTGATCCCTGAGTTACCCTAACCTAAATATCTACTCTAGAAGTAGAAAAATAGAACAATCTCTTGATGGGCTACACATAAAAACAAAATTTTGAATCTTTTGTTATTGAAGAGTAAATAAAACGAGGTGTTAGCCCGTCCTACGCACGGGAGTAGTCAGTTAAAACTGTGTATACTGTAAATCAGAACAGCTAGCTTACACGTATAAAGACAAATTTTATAGCAGCCTACAGTAGAAAGAGTAATTATCAATTGAGAAAGTGTATAGGCCTAGTCAACGATATCACCTTCCATTTCTATCGCATACCTGCCTCTGCCATAATCAATATCAACACAATACAATTACTCATACCATACACAATTTCCAGTAGGTCTGAATATAAACTCCCTAAAATAAAACTAAAACATCCAATAAAATTCACAGTACACATAATTATAACGTTGGTGTCCTGACATCATTAAACGAATCGTCCACACATATCCTTTATTACTGCATCAATTGCTAAATAAAAAAGTGTAAACAAAGAAAAGTAAAAACAACAACATTAAGTTTGTTTTGGTAAACAGCTGAGTCAAAAATAAAATAATATTCATTTTAACAAAAGAACTGGTCACATGTTAAAGGAATTTAAAACGTAAAACACGCTAGTAAAGCTAGTGACGTAGACGTAATTAATTGTCTATGTTTATTATCCATCCCGTATCAGTTCTAATATCCTTATTAATTAAACCACCCTCATTGAATCAATGTACACCCTAATTCCCCATATTCATTTATTTAAACTATAAAATATTCAGCACCTCCAAACGTAACCACAACTAAACACACGCCAAACAACTTTTTAGATTTCATAAAAGGATGGTTAGTCTAATCGCAGTATCCTAGGTCAATGATGACGTTGTGCTCAATCTATGTCATTCATATCTGTATATCTTTGGATAAAACCCGTCTGGGTTGTGGTGGTAATTTAAAATTGTATTCCTAAAGATTCTTGATCTCCTTCTTAATGACATCAATAATTCCGGGCCTAATCCAAACAAAGTTTAATCATTCAAAAACATTGATTGTAAACAAACCAAGACGAATTAAAACGTGTAAAATTGGATTTTCCTACCCTTTCCTAAAAAAGTTTAGCAGTATAATAATTTGCATATCCTTTTTTTAAGACTCGTGTACAGAGCCTCGACTTGTATACATCGATGGTGTTACCTTTCTCGGTGGTCTACTAATGTTACTTATTTCCTAAAAATCAATGACAAATCAGAGTAAAAAAAAATAACCTCATAGTTCTACAGAGCATTTTTATATTCAACCAGGGGCCCATTTCATAATAAACTACAAGTTACAAGTTACAACTTGTAACTTGTTATTTCCATTAGATTTGCATTGGGCGATCAGCTGATTTACTAATAATATTAGTTTGTACTTTATTATGAAATGGGCCCCAGCTGTTAGTTAAAAGAAAATTATATTGCACTAAAACAAACCGAAGATTACAAAGATTATTTAAAAAATCCTTTGAACATCCTAGTATTTTACCTATGTATATTTAAATAATCTTTCATCCTCTTATCGAATGATTGAACGTATCAATGATTAGCATTACACATAGTATAAATAAGTCAACTCTTAGTATGTATTTTAATTTTATCCAAATGCTGAATTTGTGACACAAAAGCTGAATGTTTACAGCTGTTGAGTTAAACAAATGATTTTATGCCAAAAGCTAGTTTAGAATCTTAGCGTCGGCTGCTAGACTTTAAAGAAATTAAAACTTAATTTCTAAAAAAACTGGGACCCTAAATTAAAATTATGGCTTCGACATTCCCTAGTTTTCAAAATGATCTTTCTTTCAACACAAAAATCATGAAAATCCGTCGAGTGGGTGATTCAGAATCGTGAAATAAAAAAACACTATTTCGTTTTAATATTATAGATTCTACTAATCAAGGCATAACGTTTTTATGCGATTTGAGCGTTGCAATTTCGAAGCACCTTCGGTTTGATTAAACAAATGAAGTAGATCTCATTCCAAGAGTTGATTGTTTGTAAGAAGCACTTAAGAGAGAGAAGGGATGATGTGTGAGAGCAGAGAGGGGTTAAAGAGGACAGAATGTTTGACCTCAATCCCTCTGAGAAGCTTAT